GATAGATAGATAGATAGATAGATAGATAGATAGATAGATAGATAGATGGATGGATGGATGGATGGATGGATGGATGGATGGATGGATGGATAGATGGATAGATGGATAGATGGATGGATGGATGCTGTTTATTTGGATTCAGGGCTAAAGAAGGAAGTGTGGTAATATTCTGATAATATATTGCGTCTTTTGACAGCCACTTTTAGAATGAGTGTGATGACTATGCTTTTTCTTACTGGAGAACTGTTAGCTAGCCCTGGCTTTAGTTTCTCATTCAACAGGCCGTGAGGGCATAAGTGGGTTATTTCAGCCCGTGTTGACGGCATGCTTTGGCCTGGACGATGGTCATGCTGTATTTTATATGAACGGTTGTAGAGTTAATATCAGTGTAGTGGCTAATGTTATCTAACAAAGACTATATGTATTAGCCATTTTCTTCCTTGCTGTGATACAATTTTGGAAAGAAGCAACACAAAAGAGCAAAGTTGATTGGGTCACAGTTCATTGTGGCATACAGTCTATTATGGCGGAAAGGCTGCCCATTATGGTGGGCAAGCATAGCATCTTGAGGTTCCATGGTCCTACAGATGTGTGGCTGGAACTTGTCTCTTCCTCACATCTCAAAGCAACAGGAAGCAGAGACCAGACACAAGTCTAGAGGAATATAAAATCTCAAGGGCCATCCTCAGTGATCCATTTCCTCCAGGAAGGTGCTACCTCCAAAGGTCACCACTTCCCTCAGTAGGGTCACCATCTAAAAATCAAGGGTTCAAACACATGAACCCATGCAGGACATTTTATAGTCTAGCCATAACAATGTATATAATTGTGATTAGAGAGCACTGTAAAAATATATCAAATTTAATATCTCACAGAGATAAGCTTGGAGATAGGATTGAATCAGCTTTACTTGTATAATCATGTTGTTTTACTATAATATAGTTCTTGCCATTTTAGAAAGCTTTTGAAATTAAAACAAGAAAAGAATTCAATCTATAATGGTAGAAATTCTACTAGGGTTTATTGTGGTACTGAGCACAAGAGACCTCCATCTTGAACTGGGTGTGTTCACTTGTAAAAGTCCATCTGTTTATGTGCTTGTAATTTGTATAGTTCTGTGACTGTCAATTAAAAGTTTAAAAAATATAACACAACAATATAATGGAATACTAGGTTTTAAAATATCTTTTTAAACTATGTAACGCCAGGGAAGAAATTATAATTCCCACTATTACATAATGTTAAAAATGCACTGTACATAAAACATAACAGTATCAATGGATATCAGGAAAACTGGAATAAAAACATTACGATAGCAGTATTTGCTGTAATAGTAGCAATAATGGCCAATTGAGAGTTGTGGGTTTGGTGTAGTTGGTTGGGTGCTTATTTTTGGTGTTCGTTTTGTAAGCACAGCTGATTGTGTTTGCCCTGTTTAGGGAGACAATAGAAAATGTTAAGCAAAGTCATGTTACAGATAGGTACAAACAGTGAAGGAGAGGAGGTGAAGACTTTTTTTTTTTTTTTTTTTTAATGAAGGAGGGGGCAAGGTCAATTAGAGGATTTTAATAAGATCACAGGGGGGAAAACCTGCTAGGAGAGGCTTTTACTAACTAAAGCTGTTAAACCATTATATAGTGGTAGAGTCGATTAAAAATCTCTCCTTCACCAAGGCTCTCATAGGTTTGGCTATTGAAAATAATTCACAGTTAATGCTTCAGCTTTATTAGTTTTGTTCACGAATTTAGTTTTAATGAAACTGTGTCATTAATATAGTGGCCTCACTTTAGTTTAGCAGATACAATTCACTTTAATTCTGTGTCTCCACCGATCTACCCTTTGCAGTAATGTGTTCAGCGCTATGTTCCGCTTTAGTGAGGGCAAATAATACACCCCGCTAGGTTTTAGAATCGAACGGGTGGAAGAACGAGAATACTTTAACAGAATTAAACACCACCCCACTGTAAATTGCATGATTTTTCTTGTTTTTCTTTCATTCCACAGCCCTTTGTGGAAGGGAGTTATTTCGTGGTGGAATTTATTTCACTTGCTGACTTCATAAGTTGAAGTTTATGAAAGGGTGAATTTTTTCCATTCAAGTTCTACAATGGTTGCGTTTAATGTTTTTGAGGTGTGGATGGGATTGCAACGCGCCCTTAGTATTTTATTCGAACGACTAATAGCATTGTGTATTAAATTAAAGTGCAAGCGTTTATATTTTCACTTATTTTGCTGTCAGGGGAGTTACCAGTGTCTTCCCCGTTCCGAAAGTCTCGCTGTCGTTTTTCCACCGCGCGTATTTAAAGTAATGACCCGAATCAGGTTCCTGCCGGGGCTTCGGCAGGGCTTGCTTTGGAGCTGCCTGGCGCGGCGGCGGCCTGGCTGCAGGAGTCGGGTTGGTCTGGGAGCGCTCCGTGGCACTAGGACCCAGGGGGCTCCCGTGAGCGGATCTTGGGGCCAGATTGCAAATTCGCGGTGACTCAGTCTGGTCGGCTCCTGGCGCTCGAGGCGGCCGCGGCGGCCCAGGCACAGCGGACGTTGGCGCGGAGCTGCGGAGCGGTCCGGCCGGGCTTCGGGTCCGAGCTGGGTGGGGGCCGGGGCCGGGGCCGGGCGGCGGCGGGCGGGGGCGCGGGCGCGCGGCGGGCCTGTGCGCGGGACTAACATCTGCTCGTCTCTTCCTGTGTCTGGCTTTATTTGCAGCAAACCAAGATGGAGTATGAGTGGAAACCTGACGAGCAAGGGCTTCAGCAGATCCTGCAGCTGCTCAAGGAGTCCCAGTCCCCAGACACCACCATCCAGAGGACCGTGCA